AATTTTATTTTTTTAATTTTTTAGATAAATTAATGATAAAAAAATTTAATAAATATGTTCATAACTTGTATATTTAAAGTATATCTTAAAAAGCCCAAAAAAATTGTCAAATTACACTTGTTGTAAAACATAATGTACTAAAAAGGTACAATTAAAATTAGATAATGGTTATATATTCCTTGCTATTTTGATTTTTGGACTTTTTAAATGTTAAATATAGTTGATAATTTAACAAAGCATATAAATACAATTAAAAATTTTCTTTTTTTAATATATAGTTCATATTTTTTTTTATTTGGTTTCCGCTCGGTATCCGAGGCTTCCCCTCGACTAATCCGGATCCAACCCGCGTCGCGCACCTAGAAATGATGGATGAGTCTCCCAGTGGACTGCTGCGTACACAAGGGCTCGAACTCGAGACCTTATTTAAGTTGGAACAAGCCGCTTACAACTTGATCCAACCCCTCGTTGATAATATATAGTTCATATTCTTATTGAAAAATTTTATTGAAAATTTTTTAATTGTTATTTATGTATTATATTAAATTTTCTTATGAAATTTTTGTCTAAAAAATAAAACTAAATTAAAGTTAATCGAGAGTAGTACGACGGTGATACTTACATTTATGGGCGACGGTGTTCCATATAAAATGTTCACTTTTCAATTTTGCCAGACCGAATTAAAAAGTGGGTTAAGCGGCTTGTCTGTCAATAACCAAACTGAACTTGGATATTGGTTTAGACAATCAACCGAACAGCTAATAACGTATCAACTTTTTGTAAAGATGAGATTCAATTTTAATCCAATTACATTAATGCCTCGAAACCGTGAGAAAATGAGAAATAAAAAAATAAATTAGATAGATACTCTATTTTTAGTAAATATAATTTGATTTTTTATTTCTTAAATATGAATTTTAAATAAAAATTTAACATATTATATTAATGGTAATTGAAAATTTTTTTAATTAAACAAAAATACTCAATAAGAATTTCATATAGAAAAAGCTTTTCAATTATTATTAATATAAATTGTTAAATGTTTATCTAAAATATATAAAAATCAAAAAATTAAAATAAGTTTACTAAAATTAAAGAGTGGAAAGATAGACAGGTTCATTATCATATAATAAAGACATTAAAAGTAAATTCCACAAGAGCACATCAACAAGAAGCATACAGCATTCAAATAGCTTATTAAAGAGAGAAGAGAACCAAGCTACCATCACAGAGAGTAAAGATGAAGTGGAAGTCGAGGCTCAACCACAGCTTGGAGTGGGACTTTTTTCGGAGTTGTGAGTCCAAAAATTTCCTCCATATTCAGATCATCTTTGGTCATGGTAGGAGGCAATTTCCAGGAGAATCCATGGAGAAGGTTTGCCAGACTTAATTGAATAAGCTTAATCCCCAGGGCATATCCCGGGCACATCCTCCTCCCAGATCCAAACGGCAGTAACTCATAGTCGTGGCCCTTCATATCAATGGCTTTCCCAATAAATCTCTCCGGGCAAAACTCATCTGGTTTGTTCCACACAGAAGGGTCCCTTCCGATACTCCATACACTCAAAAGAATTCTGGTGCCTTTGGGAATGTCATAGCCAGCAATTTGACAATCCTCCCGAGAAAGGCGAGGCACCAACATAGGTACCACAGGGTGCAATCGCATTGTCTCTTTGGCAATTGAAATGATGTACGGTAGGTTGATGATATCCTTTTCTTCTACCCATCTGTCTTTTCCAATCACCCTATCTAGCTCCTCAGTGGCCTTTTCAAAAAGTTCTGGGTTTTTCAAGAGCTCAGAGATTGCCCATTCTACAGTAGTAGTCGACGTCTCAGTTCCACCAGCCATCAGGTCCTGCAATGCAAGATAAAAGATCATGGTTCCATGAAATCATAACTAATTAGAAGGATTCTACTAATTAACACTAGTCCTGTTCATTTTTGAAAAGTTAAAAAGTGGATCATTGCTTTTCGAGCTCCATCGATTAACAAAAAGAAAGAAGAAATATTTTCAGGTAGAGTGAAATCAGAAACGCCACCAGTTAAAAGAAACATTGCAAACAAAAATATTATATGAAATTAATGACTCCTATTTTATGGCATGTAAACAAATAATATTTTCCTATGTATTAATTAAAACTAAAGTTAGCGCACCAAAATCAAAGCCTTGACTCCGTTTCTTTCGATCTTGACATCGAGAGTAGGATCTTCAGCAAGCTCCAAAAGCACATCCACTATGTCCTTAGCAACATAATCCTCCACCCCCTTTCTCCTAGCATTATGCTCGTCTAACAAATGCTCCAAAAACCTATCGATCTTCCTGCTCAAAGCCTTCATTCTCTTAATATGCCCTTGCAAATCCAAGAATCCTAGCCATGGAATCGAATCTCCAATATCGAAGACCCCACTCAGAAGGAGTAATTCATCAATCATCTCTCTGAACTCATGTGGGGTCACAATCTCATTATTTCCAGTCTCCCCTGCATACTTCTTCCCGAACACCGTGCGATTGAT